GTACATCGACTTACAATAGGTTGAATGACACGTCTGCCATAGCCTGACGGGGTCTGTAGCGTTTTTAATCGTACTTTTAAACTTCGGGTTTCGGGTAGTAACCGGCGAACAAAGAGAACTACAAAATTCGACTGCTTTACGGCATATACGTCACTTCCACCACCACCCCCACTTCATTAAAATCGGACGTGCGAGCCAAATGTTATAGTCATGGCCGAAGCAGCACAGAAAAACAAGAAAGCAAAGGTTTTATCGGAGCAAAGCAAAAAGAGAAAAAGAGAAAGTGATCGCGTTAAAGGCAGAACGAGGATCAACATTGGGCCAGCATTTTCCCGCTGGCGTGAGCTGAAGGAGGAGGAGGGGTGCCCGACCGATGCTGACTTGGCAAAAAAAAAAAAAAAATCAAATGAAAGCCTATGTCTAAACGGCGTGTACAAGTTTGGTAGGGGCTACAATCTTGCAAGTAAATATATAAGATGTACAAAATCATATTTTAGGATACCTAACATGTCTGTGATATTTGTTTATTTGTCTTGCCTCAAGCTATAATGCAAATCGATTTGTAAAATTTGCAGATTCATTTATGGTAGCTTGATATTATAATATTGACGATATATGGTTATTATCAACCACTCAAACATTGCATTGAAGTATCATATAGATCCAGTAAAACGGTAACCAATAGACTAGGCTACTATAATGACGCTGGCTTTTAAACGTGATCATCGCGATCATTTGTCGTTAGAAAAAAATAAAACCCATGAAATTATATTCATATGACATGCTGAAATATATGCCACTGTACCTGGGATGAAGACATTAAAGACAAGACGCAAGCAGAACACCTGCATGTGACCTCCTCCTACAGTGTTCAGGGCTATCGTGGTTGTCAACAATTGCACGTGCATGTAGGATGACAGAGTTTACGACAGTAGTAGAGGTCTCTAGACTCTAGAGGACAATACTGTTTCCCAAATGTAGGGGGACTCCACCCTGAGAGCAAAAGTAACCTGGTGTTACTTTAAAATAAAGTTCAATTCAATTCACATTTATTTGTATAGTGCTTTTCACAATACATATTGTGCTTTACAGAAAATGCTTGTGTCTACATTACAATTTGGAGTGATCAGAGGTGACTGTGTCCAAGTAATGGACATTCCAGTTTAAGTTTCAGTGGAGTGAAGCCTGTTTATGCCATTAAGAAAATTCAATTCTGTCAAATAAATTTTGTTTTAAAGAAATGTTCATTTAAAACCACCGCTCATTCATCAGTGTACACTTCAATGCAGAAGAGGGTCAAAAAAGGAACCGGGACCAAAAGGACTGAGGTCACTTTCGGCTGGTTCGCTTTCTGGTTCACTTTAAGTGAACTGGGTTTCGTTCTTTTAAAACTAACTATATGTTAAAACACCCATCGATGTAATTACAGAAATGAGTTACCGTGCAGGCATTTTTTAAATATAAGTAATATAAAAACATGTATGTAAACAATGTGCATTGTATCAATATGAATTGAAATGTTAGTAAGTAGTAGTTAAAGACACCTATATAAAGTGGGACCGGAAAACTTGTGTGTACATTAGTTTCTTAAGCCATTAGATGCACTGTTCAGATATTTCTGTCCTGCTCTTTCGCTCAGTCTCGCTCATGCTTTACACAGTCTTGAACATGTCAGACCATATCGAATCAAACTGGAGAAATCATTTTTGGTCATCAGAGTGAATTCAGTGAAGTGGATGAAAGTGAAGATGGTGGTGGTCATGATCTTTGAGTGTTGTTTTCCTCTGTCATTTACACACAAGCCTTAAAAGATCTCTTACTTTCACTGTTGCTTTCTCACTGTCTCCTCTCTTTCTGGGTGATGATGTAATAGATGTGTAATTTTCCAGTTGCTAAAATACTTTCTCCTTTTACAGTCGGTGAGGATTTTAAATTGACCGTTCGCCCCCAAAATGAAAAATCTGTTGTTGTTTATTCATACTCGTGTTGTTCCGAACCGTATTCTGTTTTTTTTTTTTTTTCAGAAATTGTTTTGCAGCACCCGCCATGCAGACAATTTAAAGTGACTTGTGGTTGTGTCAAGCTCTAAAAAAAGGACAAAAAAATTCTTACCAAAAAAGTTTTCACATATAAAACGGCAAAAAAAAAGAGATAAAGTAGATTTTGTGTCAGAGTGCAGGTAAGAGCATTGCTTTCACTGTTGCTTTTGAGCCCTAATCAGCATTGCAGTAATCTCTGAGCAAATATCTAATTGCTAAACAAACCCTTTCTAATAGAGAATATACCTAGGCAGTTAATGAGGTGACAGAGAGTGATGGGAAATGTAGTTGTCAATAACCTGTCACAGTACAAACATGATAAGCTGGATTTGAATCATGTCAAAGCAATCATATGTGTGAGATGACACCATCATTTTCTATTTTTCAATATTCTGAAGCTAAAGAAGAGGGATGTCAATTAAAGCCAGTGTTATTGTAGTATTATTTGTTTATAGTATTTATAACATTTTTGAAGATTTTAGCTTTTATTATTTTTATTTTTCATTTTTATAATTATATTTGACTTATTTTTAAGTTTTTCATCTAATATTTTATTTGATTTTAAGCTTTATTTAAATTTTTTGTTATTTATAATTTTAGTTAACAATAACAAAACTGATTTAGGTGGAAGTAAATTAGTATTTACAGAATCATGAGATATAACTATAAGGGTACAATTTGGTTTGTCTGCATTTTCTGTACTGTTGATGAAGAATAGAGATAAAGCTTGCTAGATAATACTATTCATTTATCCATTTTTTAAGGAGACAGGGTTGTATGACCAAGCTACCTTCCCATCATTCTTTGCGACAGCCAATTACACACCTAATGCACATACATTGCTATTCATTTTAATGCAGTAGAACTAAAATAGCTTTTTCATTGGAGAGGGGCAAAGCGAGAAAGAATTAAGAATTCAATAGGAGCTTTCTCAAAGGTTTCAATGTTTGTTTTAGCATGGTCTATGCCCTGCTGTTAGATGGTAGGAGATGATAGATGACTAAAAAACACCTTTCTTTATTAGCGTCCATTCAGAAATCAGCAGTATATTATATAGTATATTGCTTCTACAACAGATGTTCACTAGTGCCTTGTTTTTTTATTTTTTGGAGGGCACTTGAATGCATGACCAGGACTGCATGTGCTCTCTGCTGCCACCTAGTTTACTCCCCGGTATCTCTCCCTATCTGTCTCATTTGTACCGCATTTAACTCTAGTCACAGGTTGCTGTCCCAGAGTACTGCAGATGTCTGAGTCAGCAGCTGCTGCAGTCATGCTAAGAGAGAAATATAGACATACAGAGACTGTTTTACTAACATACATGATCTCTCACAGTCTTAAGTGCTCCATATGGTGATCATTATTGCTGTTTCCTCCTGGGATGATCCTGATGTCTTCATGTTTGTGTTTCTGTGCTGTAATAACTCGTACTCTTTCATCAGTCAGAGTCAATACCCCTCCTATGCCCTCTCTCGCATGCTCACATCTCATTGACAGTTCAGTTAAATTAAGACTACCTTCAATATCAGGATGCTTTTCTCTTCAACCATTGAATGTACATCTCTCTCTCTCTCTCTCTCTCTCTCTCTCTCTCTCTCTCTCTCTCTCTCCATTAGCTGTTGGCTGTGCTGCAGCAAGGCTGTTCTCATTGCTGATGCTGCATTTCTCTCCACATTCATATTCTAATTTCACTGCTGTGCTGTATTTTAGCATTCCCCTTGAAAACTTCATGAAAGTCACTTCTAAGTCTAGTCTAATCTAAACTAATAGCTTTTTCAGACATATTAAGTATAATATCAGAGTGGGATATAATGTATTTTCTCTGGTGCTATGCTTAATTGTAGTCATGCATTACACGCATTGGATTAGTTACAGTTTTAGTTAGCTAGTTGTTTTCACAATAAATTCTGTTCTGTTAGCCAGAGTTATTTATTTATATTAATATATGAAATATATTTATATATTTTTTATTTTACTGTTTTGGAACTTGTTGAAACGGTAACGTCTGGTTCCTGAAGCAAAACCAGCTGAAAGATTCTTATCTAAACGATAATTTTCCAAAGAAAGACTACTTTCTCAAAACTCTAAACACAAGTTGCAAATTTTCTTTTCAAGACTCTAAACAAATGAATCATTTTACACCAATCTCGTGTTGAAAGCACCAGCATTTAGAAACCATCACAATGTCATCACAACCTCAGTTAACACACAGTTCTCATTATGTGAACATTAGTATGCAAACTAGCTCACACAGCAGTCAGAATGGGGATTGTAAAAATAGCACAGATGAGTTCTTGTCTTTATCCAAACAATGCAGAAAGTGTTTGCATTAGAGGAAGAGTATAAGTATTGAATGAAGTCATTGCCATTCCTTTGAGTGCCAACATTCCTTCTTTTAAAATGTAAATTAGCTCTTTTTAGAATTTGTTTGAAGTTTGAGGTTTGTACAATTAAGTTTGTAGTTTTAAGATATTTGTTGTAAGTACACCGGGCTTCATGTCCACCTTCAGCAAAGTAGCACTAACCAGTCTGAACAAGCATGTGAATTCAGGCCAGAGTAAGATGATTTTTTTTACCAGAAGGTTTGAATAAAATGTATTTTAGCGACATACTATATCTTTTGGTTGAGCTATAATAGAAAATGTTGTGGGGAAGTTCAAAATTTTGGTTCAGTTACTGTATGTGAACACATTAATTTTTAATGTTCTATCCCCTAAGGGAAAGAGAACAAATGTGGACTGAGGTTTAGGGTTGGAATTTAAGTAAACCTTAAAATAGCTGGAGCTGAGGGGAAAAAAAAAGAGCATGTCTACAGAGATTCTGCACTCCAGCACGGAATATTTTCCACTGCTCTGTCATTTCCTGATTTGTTTGTTATTAATTTGTTTAATAAGAGAGATGTGGGAGACTTGGAAACAGAGTTCAAACTAATTTCAGTCTCTTTCTCTCTGTCCCTCTCAGATGGTAAGGTGTATGCATTGGGCGGGATGGGAGCCGACACGACCCCTCAGGCCTCAGTGAGGCTGTATGAGCCGACAAAAGACCAATGGCTGCCCCTCACCTCCATGCCCACACCCCGCTACGGAGCCTTCTCCTTCGTGCGCGGTAACAAGATCTATGTTCTGGGTAAGGCTTCACAAAATTGTCTCATAAAACTGAATAATTCTGTTGTTTGTCAGAAACACACTCTTGGTTCCCTAGGAGTAATAAGACATGACCAGATAATAAAAAAGGGCAGGCAAACATACAGCAGTGTCTAATGGTAAAACATTTGTTTAGTGTGAAAGGGGAGCCGCAGCTCAAATCCAAAGCTACCATATTGTTTTTTTTTAAATGCTCAAATTCAGCTAATTTTGACTACTGCTGAACTTTAACATTTTGATCAACATGAAAAAAAAATAGTTTTCTATATTAATACAGTTAAAATGTAATTAATTCCTGTGATGTCAAAGCTGAATTTTCAGCATAATTACTTGTCATTACACTGTCACATGATCCTTCAGAAATCATTCTAATATGCTGATTTGCTGCTCAAGAAACAGTTCTTATTGTTCTCAATGTTAAAAATAGTTGTGCTGCTTAATATGTTTGTGGAAACCATGATACATTTTCTTTCAGGATGTTTTGATGAAGTTCAAAAAGACAGTATTTATTTGAAATAGAAATCTTTTGTAACATTATAAATGTTTTTACTGTCAATTTTGATAAATTTAATGCATCCTTGTTGAGTAAAAGTTACTGACCCCAAAGTTCGTAACGGAAGTGTACATACAACATACATTTCTCTATTAACAGACGGTGTAGGCTAGCCAATAATGAATATACATCTTATTTTCCGTGTCAGACTGTGTCACAATATTCTCTAGGAGCAGCAGATGTGGTAAAAACACCTGGTAATTGTTCATGCCGTGCCAGGGCTGATAAGAACTGTGGAGTGGAGTCATTTCTCAGTAGGGGAAGTGAAATCTGCACTTCAAAATGCTGCAGGGATCTGTCGCTTTACAGCAGAACTGTCCACTTCTTACATTGGTGTTGGAAATCACAAAGGAGCATTAAATGGAAAGCTTCACTGCTGGTTCCCATGATAAAATCAGCCTGTCTTTTAAAAGAACCACAGCCTTAGGCTGTAAGTTACCGCCACCAGAGGCCTGTTTTGGGCTGAGTGAAAGAGACACAGACCCTAAGTGGCTATTTGCTGCTCTGCATGTTAGTGTTTGTGTGTAAGAGGATGCATGTTTGCTCATGTATATGTTATATATACGCAGGGCCTAAAGTTAACACTCGCCAAGCAGGAAATACGTGTAAAAATCAGTGTTGGTGAGTATATGAATCACCAGTTAGCCGGTAACATTTTTATGTGTTCTAACAATTCAAAGTTGTGAAAACACAAACGTGAACGATGCTCGGGATGGTTGATGGGCCAGTGCTGCATAATCACGAAAATGTAATCCCTGCCAATTTAAATATTCAAGCGCAAAGACAAAGTAAAAGGGAATTTAATTGTTACTCGTGCTGTGGAAAGTTTTCTGTGCACAAACATCCCTGTAACAGGGAAACAGGGGAACTACACTAACCTTTTCCACTGGTGGCACTTGCGCTACTAACTTTTTCAGTTACTGGCTTTCAGTTACTATAATGAAACTGTACTGCATTAGGGGTGGAACAGTACACAGAAGTCACGGTTGGGTTCATACCTTGGTTCAGACATCACGGTTCGGTACGATTTCGGTACAATGGAGTGAAAAGCAAAACAAAAATGCAGAAGGCATTTTTATAAATGTCTTAAGCCTTGTATTTTTAAGTTGTATAAGTTTTATTAATAAAGGCATAGAACCAGTTTATTTGTAGTGCACTGACAATAGTTTTATATAATTAGTTTATTAATTAAATTAATAAAAAGACAAAATGACCTTGATATATGTTTGGTAATTGTACCTGAATGAATTTAAAATTAATTTGCTATATTTCAGATCAATATATATTGTTTTCCTTAATTTTAATTAACCCTAACTTTATTCTCATCTGAATTATAAATAAATGATTTCCGTATAAAATAATTACCATTTAAAACCACATTTGATTTTCTTTTTTAATCAATGTAGAATGTGTAACTGAAAAATAAACAGATTAGTGCTCCGACTCCGAGGACAAGAAATGAAAACCAATGCGATATGATGAATCTCCAAAAGATGGAACACACAGACTGTTTTTAAATGGGGTTGGATAAATATGTTTTGCTTTTAAAACGGTGTGTGTGTGTGTGTGGTTGGGTTACAGTTGTAGGTTACAGTTTGACAAGAGTTTAGAGTGTGACAAAAGCACAATGTTGTGTTTTATTGCGAGTGTACACAAATATAAGTAAACACTTTGCAGTTTGAATAATGTCCTGTATGAACAAAATTACGGAGTATGTTTTTATGTTTCCACTGTTCGATCGCGCCCGCGTCTCTCTCTCACACACACACACACAGAGTTCGATTGCGCCATGTGTTGAATGCTCAGAGCACGTTATAAAAACGTATAATTAAAATAGGCTACACATTTCTGTTTTAATAAATGCTCATAGTAAATCTTGGCATATTGCCTAAAACATAAGGTAGGTACAAAAATAGTCAGTGATACATTTGCGACCCATTAAAAATTAGGGTCGTAATGGCATTTCAAAAGGTCGCATATGCGACTATTTTGGTCGCAGTGTAGTTCCCTGGGAAATCATGAATACTGAATTGAGCTCTCTTTCACGTCTTCTTGCGTTTGAACAGACATATTCAAACAAAATTATGTCGAAAGGCCTGTCTTGGCAAGTATCCTCCTCGTAAACACAGTCATTTATGAACTCTTAAAGTGACAGTAGCCTAATATTCCTGCTGCTGTCTGTGTTTTTAATGTTAATCAAGCAACAAGAACAATCTCTCATTGCTCTTGACTGAATACAATTTTTAACTTTAATAAGGATTATTCTATGTTTCATGGCTGATAAAAAAAAAATATTTATGCCCGGTAAATTTTCTTATGTCACTGTCCATTGGAAGGTGTGGCAAAAAGTTTGTTTTGGGCCCTGTATACAAGTGAACAAAAATTATATAAAAAAATGTACGGACAAAATATTGTCCACAGACGTTAGCTGAATATGAGCTATTCGGGGATGTTCTTAAAGGCACACTGTGGAACTTTTCAACCTTTATAATATATTACCAAAACCCATTGAGATGGTACATCGACTTACAATAGGTTGAATGACACGTCTGCCGAAGCCTGAAGGTATCTGTATCGCTTTTACTCGCACTATGTAACTTCGGGTTTCGGGTAGGAACCCGAGCACAAAAAGAACTACAAAATTCGACCGCTTTACGGCATACGTCACTTCCCCCACCACCCCAACTTCCTCAAATTCTAACGTGAGAGCTCAACTCGCGTTTGATTGCCGGCGTCTGTATGTTGTCGTCATGGCTGAATCAACAGCTACTCGGAAGAAAGCGAAGAAAGCAAAGATTTTGTCAGAGGAGACCAAAAAAAGAAAAAGGGAGAGTTTAAAATAAACATCGGCATAAAAGTGTAGCCTATATATAATGTAATATTTACTGCGAATTCGTGTAACAAAACTGATATGTCACATACTGCCGTGTACAAATGTAAATGTAAATGTTTTTTTTTCCTTTCAGCTCATATATGTTTGTATTTGTGTAAAAGGAAAAACAAACTGAAGACTACAAATAACGGAAATATGTAGTGAGTTATATCAGTTTTGTTACACGATTTCCCGACTACTCGATTTCATCTCCAACCCATTGCAAAGAGATCCTGAAGACGTTAATTGTTTGCTTCAGGTGTGTTTGATTAGGGTTGGAGATGAACTGTGCAGGACAGACGATCGGCAGGAGCAGGATTGGGCAACCCTTGTCAATGCGACTTACCTGATCTGCGTATGCTACTTTTATTCAATTTGTTTTCTTTATAGGATTTATATTATTAATCTTATATTTATATTATTATTTTGGTCAGTAGTGAATCGATTAACTTTCTCCAACATACAAATCAAATGCCGTCTGCACACACATAAAGACACGGGAGGTTGACTGTTTGTTGACTTTTGCGACAATGCTGCGGCGCTTGTGGCCTCTAGGGGCACTAGACGTGAAAATTACAGGTCGAGCGCACCCTAGTGGCCAAAAATTCCACAGTGTGCCTTTAAAGATACAATTTATTCATAAAATGGGTCAATGAAAAATAGGAATAACCATGAGAATGAAAAGAAAAAAATCCTTTTTTTTGGTGGTCTTATTGGAAAAACATGAATTATTTATATTATAAATATTATTATGTTTTTGGGATGTTGCACCAAATAGCATTTTACAACCTGAACTAACCTTGCCTTGTCATAAAAAGGTAAAATTGTTGGATGTTTTAAGAGACTTATTCACACCCACACAATTTGGAGTAAAAAATAATTTGTTTATATAATCAGTAGATCCGGACACAATAAAAATATTTTAAATAATGTATTATGTCAAAGTTGTTGTTGTTTTTTTTAGATTAGTGTTAATAGTTTAAAATAGCCATTTACCATTTAGGTGTGTGTGTGTCATGAAAAACTGAAAATAAATGTATACCTTTACTGCAATGTAATGTAGTGTAGCATGTGGAGTGGTTAGACTATGTATGTGTAAGTTTGATAGTTGATCAGTGTTTGTGCCCATGGGTTTAATGAGCATGCAAAGTGGTCAGTATGGGGTCTTGTTGTCCTCTTTCTGACCTCTGCACTGTGGGACATTCTGTTCAGGTCAGACACAAGCCTGTGTGCAAGGTGACCGAGCCTTCTCAGTCAGTGGCTGGTCCTAATCTCTGGAATAGTCTACCGGTTCATATAAGAACAGTTCGGACTGCTGACATTTTTAAGTCGTTGCTTAAGACCCACCTGCATTCCTTAGCTTTCATTTTGAGTTGAGTTTTGCTACTGTGACATTCTCTACTGTATTAAAAAAAAAAAAAAAAAAATTGTGTATCCTGACATTAAGCACTTTGGTCAACTGTGGTTGTTTTTAAATGTGCTATACAAATATGTATTTGGGTCCATGTTGACAGTGAGCTTAAATGGCACACACATGTGTCATGGGTGTCCACAAGGG